TTTTGAAGTTATAGTTCCATTGCATTCAGAGAGCACTGAGACGCAAACCATGATGGATCTGGTCCAAACTTGGCATGAATACTCAACATGCCCAAATGTGAACACTGGTGGAGTTTGGGGAACATAGACCTTTTGTCTATTTTTTGTAGTTGCTGGAATGTTTTAACATCAAAAATCATCCAGGCGTCCCGTGGGCAACGTCCTTGCAGACGGCCAATTCTCTCACAACAGGAGCGGTTGCTCCTGACACGACAAAAAAAGTTGCTGGGATTTATAGTTCACCTACAATCAAAGAGCATTCTACACTCAACCAACAATGGAATTAAACCAAACCTGGCACACATAACTCCCATGACCAGCAGAAAACACTGGATGAGTTTGGTGGGCATTGACCTTGAGTTTTAGTTATAGTTCTCCTATCCCCAGACAGTACTGTGGACTCAAACAGTGATGGATCTGGCACAGATACTCAATAGGCCCAAATGTGAACACTGCTGGAATTTTGGGGAAACAGACCTTGACACGTGGGAGTTGTAGTTGCTGGGATTCATAGTTCACCTACAATCAAAGAGCATTCTGAAGCCCACTGTAGGGGGAATTGGGCCAAATTCCCCACACAGAACCCCCAAACTTTGAAGAGACTTGCAAGCCTCCCTCCAGCCTTGCACGCTCTCCCTCGCCTGCACATGTGTGCCATGCGCCACACATGCCTGCTCTCCTTTCCCTGCTTGGAGTCTCAGAAACAGCCCTCCCCTTGGCTGAGAGACCGGTCAATCACAGCAGAGGAGGGCTTTTGGTAGGAGGATCCTACAGATATTACTAAGTGTTCTGTCGCCCGCTGGGCTTGAAATGAATTGCTTTTAAAACCGAAGAGAAATTCGTAAGGATTTTCACCATAAACAGTCTTTAGAGGGCTTGTAAAATATAACAAAGTCTTTTATTGGTGAACAATCAACATAAACTTCCTTTGTCTTCAAAAGGTTAAACAAATGCTTCCAGGCTTTTGTGCAACTGGTGGCTTCTAACTGTTACTTTTACTCTAAAGGAAAATCCCTTTCCAAACTTCTCCCAGGCTAACTGTGAACCTAAACCTAACTGATATGGGCTCCACTACCGTGCTGAACTGTGTCTCAAAGCACCGAGTGGACCTACCAGTAGGCCTGTAGTCACTTCAGCTGGAGTTCTTAGATATTCAAAGCTGTTTTTCCCTCCGAAATTCCTCACAGCTTTAGGGCTGTATTGTCGAAGGCATTCATGGCTGGAATCACTAGGTTCTTGTAGGTTTTTTCGGGCTATAGGGCCATGTTCTAGAGGCATTTCTCCTGACGTTTCGCCTGCATCTATGGCATCTATGGCAAGCATCCTCAGAGGTAGTGAGGTCTGTTGGAATTAGGACAATGGGTTTATATATCTGTGGAATGGCTGGGGTGGGGCAAAGAGCTCTTCCTTGCTAGAGCTAGGTGTGAATGTTTCAACTGACCACCTTCATTAGCATTTGAAGGCCTGCCTGAGCCTGGGAAAATCTCCTGTTGAGAGGTGTTAAGCTGTGCCTGGTTGTTTCCTCTCTGCTTCATAGATGCAGGCGAAACGTCAGGAGAAATGCCTCTAGAACATGGCCCTATAGCCCGGAAAAACCTACAAGAACCTAGCTTTAGGGCTGTTTCCCTGGGAATCTTTGGGAATCCTTTTGCTCTTAAGACTGTTCTCCCCTGGGAGGTCTTAAGGGTTGAAGCCTTTGTACAGAGGAAGTCTGCACATGTCATGTACATTGACTTGCCTTGCTGAAACTGACTGAAAATGGCTCCCTTCCCTTCTCAATTGTCCTGAACAGGGGGCGGAACCAAACTTAACGATGATGGACAGGGGCCTGCCCTATAACTGCAAACTTTAACAGGAAGCCACCCTTCTGCAGAATCCCAAGCCTTGGGCTGCAAGCAAACACTTAATACAAGGCAAATAAAGTGGGAGCTTCTGGTACAGCTGTACCAGCACACTAAGCAATACAAAATGCTCTGATATTGGGCAGAACATCCCCAGCATCCAGTGTCTGGGTCTTTGCCATGCTGTTTTGTGCACCCAATAGACCAGCCTATTTATTATGGACCCTGATACTGCAGAGGCATAGCAAGCAGGTTGAATCATTCATTTAGTCAAGGGATGCAAAGCTGTGATAAATCCCCATAAAAGATGCAGTCCCTTGTTCCGACAAGGTGTTCCGGCTCTTGCGCCCTCGAAAACGGGCTTTTAATCCCCGGAATTAGGCAGCATCCTGCGATGTTTTGCATGCACCAAATTAAGGGCTTCTCAAACAGCTGGTACCCTTGATGCCGAGAGAGGTTCTTGAGTGGCTTTGGAAATTGGGGGAAATTACATCTTTCAGCTAATAATTGATCCTCCACGAAACCTGCCCTCTTTCCGTCTTGTTGCAGGATGATGTCATGGTGACTCTCCACCAGCCTTTTGCATTTTCAACAACTAAGAAACAATGCAGTCTTGGATACAGAGAGAAATGGATGTGGATTATTAACACAGCAGTCCTGGGGAGGGGGTGGGAGTTGTGTTTATTTCTCTCTGTGGAAGGAAAGGTGTGTGTGCAAAACTGTGAACTGAGACACAAAAGTGTAGCGGAGGGATGGGGAAAGTATTGCCACTGGTGTTTAGGGACTGCTACTCCCATCATTCTGGGTGGACATGATAAGAAATGCATACATTCCAATAATATATGGGGCCATGTTCCCCATTTTTGTCCTAAATAATGATTGTGGAGGATATAAGTCACTTGCTGTTATGACTCTATAACAGTGTTTCTCAACCTTCCTAATGCCGCGACCCCTTAATACAGTTCCTTATGTTGTGGTGCCCCCAACCATAACATTATTTTCATTGCTGCACCCGTACCTTGGGAAGTCTGACTTGGCCACGGTAGGCCACGCTCTGGTTACATCCCATATAGACTACTGCAACGCTCTCTATGTGGGGTTGCCTTTGAAGATGGTCCGGAAGCTTCAACTAGTCCAACGAACAGCAGCCAGGTTGCTAACAGGAGCGGTGCTTAGGGAATATACAACCCCTTTGTTGCACCAGCTCCACTTGAAGCCGAGCAGGTCCCCGCCCCCTCCAATAAGGGATAGTAACTTATAGTTCTGTAAAGGGCAAGGTCACCAGACTGCACAATAGGGGTTGCCTTGGTCAATTTACCAAGACACTAACAACAGCAAGGACCCCAGGAGGCTTTCAGGGAGCAGATTGGTCCCTGGGCTCCAGCCCTTGGAAAGAGTTACAGTTTTCCAAGGACAAAGGACCAGAGTTGATCTCAATGTGGTGGGTCTCCCTTAGCTGGCTCAGTGGAACCTCTGAGACTTTCTCTTATGAATTTTATACTTTTATCATTCCCCACAAACATTTCCCTTCCTCTACAAGGACAAACCCTTATGAATTTCTACCCTTATGAACTATGGACACATATTATGTATTTCATGGTTTCCTCGTGGCAGAGGCTCCCCCCCCCCATTTGACCTTTCCACCCTTCTCCTCATGAAGAAATCCCCCCAGGAAACTGCAGAGCCCAGGCATTCGCTAAAGAACTTTAATCCAGAATTTCCTTTGCATGAACAATATCCTGGTGGCTGCCCTTTGTTCTCGGAGGATCGCCCAACAAAGTTGCCGCCCCCTGGCAAAACTTTAATCATTTTTCTACCTGGAGGTCAGGGGACCTTCGAAAAGCCCCCACCTTCACTGATTGATTTAACTAACTTCCCACTAAGGAATACTCACCCCAGTTTCACCCTCATTGTCCTCATGTTTCTGGCCAGATTTTCCTTTACACATGTTGATTCATTCCAATTAAAACACAATAGATCAGCCCTGCTTGAGACTTCCTTTTTTTGTCTCGCGAGCCACATGGCATTATTTTTTCAAAACTCATTCACAGATTCCTTTGTGTTCTATCATCCCGCCTCCCTCTCCCCTGACTCGCTGTCGCCGCTAGGCGGCAGGAGCCTTCCCATTGGATCCATCACACCGCTGAAGCTTCCTGATTGGTCCTGAAGCCCAGGGGGCTGGAGGGCCGCCTCCCAGCTGTTCGCCCGTCACCCAATCATGGCGGGGAACGTCATGAAAGCTGGGGCGAGAAGTTTGAAGTCTACAACTTTGAATTTGCTATAAATATGACTGTATTGGTGTATTCTCCTCATGCTCTGCTGGCAAATGATTGCGGCTCTGCATCCTTTTCAGCTGAATTGCTAATAAAAGCCTCGGTGGCCATTTCTTCAACCTTGGTGAGATTTATTTGGGAAAAATCAGGGAAAATTCTGGGCCTTTCTCCTCTTTCGCTTGTCAAGGGTTTCGGACTCTCTTTGGTGGGTCTAAGGGCTCCTCTCTCCTGGGCAGGAGCCTCCAAATTCTAGCTTGATAACACACTGACTACTGGTTTGCTACTGGGCCCAATTCAAAATTCTGGCTTTGGCCTATAAAGCCCTAAACAGTTCTGGCCCAACTTAACTGTCTGAATGTGTCTCCCCTTATGAACCATCGAGGACTCTAAGATCATCTGGGGAGGCCCTGCTCTAGAACGCAACCTGCGCACAATGGAGGACCTTCTCACAGTGACACCAGAGACACTCCAAGTGGCCAGCTTCTGGTCAAAGAACATTTAATATAAAACTTTCTGTCTGTTTTCAAATACATTATAAATGCACCTTCAATTTGCTTCTGATGTGATAAATAAATAAATAAATAAGCTACAACTCCCAGGATTCCACTGATGCACATAAAAGGGTTTTTTTTCGCTCGCTTTTGTGGGAATTTGTTGTCTATCTGCTCCAGTTTGGAGTTAGCTTTGAACTGTATTAAATCCTTATAGAATCATAGAAAAACAGAGTTTGAAGAGTCCACATGGGCCCTGCCATGCAGGAAAAACACAATCAAAGTACCACCAACAGATGCATCAGTAGAGATGGAATAGCAAAAAGGTCATAGTGGGGGGCAAAGGAAGGGCATACCTGAATGTCATCTGGAAGACCTGCCCTTGGTTGACGTGGAGAGTGCGGTTGTTGTAGCCGTGCAGCATCTCTCCAAACAGCGTGTCGTTGAATTTCACATCCGACTTGAGGCACTTGGGCCCTTCACAGATGTCCGACAGCATGAGGCAGGACTTGCCATCGGGTGCCAGCTTGTATTCCTCCACACAACTGAAGACCAAAACACACAAAAAAGGAGGAATGTCACTAAATATCTCACCAAGACTACCTTCCAAGTGACTGAGCATGCAACTGATAATATAGACTACTTATTTCCTGAATGCCTCAAACTTGATCAACTACTAACTTGATTAGCCCAGTGGTTCAGCCAGTTGAACTTGCTAACCCAAATGTTGGCAGTTTGAATCTGTGGGATGGGGTGAGCTCCTGCTGTTAGCCCCAGCTTCTGTCAACCTAGCAGTTCAAAAAAATGAAATGTGAGTAGAGCAATAGGTACTGCTCCGGCGGGAAGGTAACAGCACTCCATGCAGTCATGTCAGCTACATGACCTTGGAGGTGTCTATGGACAATGCCAGCTCTTTGGCTTAGAAATAGAGATGTATCATGAAAATATCATTGTAGATTTGATAAATGTGAATTTAATATGATGTGTGGGAATGAATGGAAGAATGGGAGGATGGATGGAGTTAATAATTTTGGAAACACCAGTAAATTTATTTATTTATTTATTTATTTATTTGGAGTGCTTCTACCCCGCCCTTCTCAACCCCCTAGGAGGGACTCAGGGCGGCTTACAAAAGGCACAATTCGATGCCCAACAATTCACTTAATACAATATACAAAATACAATATAACGACAACAATTATAACTAGTTAAAACAATCAAATTAATACAATAGCAGCAATAAAATCATCTTGTGGTCGACATTCGCCAATTCATAAATCCACTAGCTGTGCCCTGCCACGCGTTGCTGTGGCCTATAGTAAAACTGATCAAAGTTGAGGTAGATATCTGGACTATTATGAAAGAGAGGTACCTACCTATTCCTTCCCCCTTTTCCTCCCCCTTTCTCTCCTTTCTTCCATCTCTACCTCTTTCCTTCTTTCACTACTTGGTTTCATCCTTCTCTCTTTCCTTCATTCCCTCCCCCTTTCTTCCTTTGCCTTTCTTCCCTCCCTGTTTGCTTCCTTCTTTCACTTTTTATTTCCTTTTATTTCACCACCATCATAACAATAACAATAATGCAATGCATTGCCTCTGGGACCTGACACCTCTCCCATTCCCCCTAAAAGGGTCTCATAGGAACAATAGCATAATAATAATAATAATAATAATAATAATAATAATAATAATAATAATAGAAATAACAACCTTTCCCCGCCACGTGTTGCTGTGGCCAATCTTCCCTCTTTCTCTCCTTCTTTCCTCCCTCCTTCCCTCCCATCTTTCCTTCTCCTCTTCTTTCTCTATCTCTTTCCTTCCTTCCCCCTTTTCTGCTGTCTCTCTTTTCTTTCCTTCCATCTTTCCTTTTCTTTCCTTTTCTTCTTCCTTCTTTCTCTAACTTTCCTTCCTTCCCCCTTTTTCTTTACCCCCCTTTCTCTTTCTTCCTTCTTTCCTTCCTTCCTGTCTTTCCTAGATTTTGACAGGGCAGGAAGGGGCGGGGTGGGGTTTGGAGGTGGCGTGAAGTAAAAGGAGGTAAGATTGGGGCAGGGGAGTGATGGAGCGTGGGGTTGTGTGTGTGTGCGGCGGCGGGGGGAGTGATGGAGCGTGGGGTTGTGTGTGTGTGTGCGGCGGCGGGGGGAGTGGGGTTGCGTGTGTGCGTGCGGCGGCGGGGGGAGGGATGGAGCGTGGGGTTGCGTGTGTGTGTGCGGCGGCGGGGGGAGTGGGGTTGCGTGTGTGCGTGCGGCAGCGGGGGAAGTGATGGAGTGTGGGGTTGCGTGTGTGTGTGCGGCGGCGGGGGGAGTGGGGTTGCGTGTGTGTGTGCGGCGGCAGGGGGAGTGATGGAGTGTGGGGTTGTGTGTGTATGTGCGGCAGGGGTGTGTGTGTGTGCGGGAAGCGGCGCGGGGCTTGGAGTGGGCATGGTTTCCGCAGAGGGAACGTTGGCCGGAAGGGCATGTGCGCGCGCCAGGGAACTTGCGGCTGGGCGCCAATGCGCATGCTCAGTTGTTTTGCCGTTTTGTGAGTGTGTTGTTGTGTTGTTTTTCATTTTGAGTAGATACGTTTGTACCTTGTGGGTTGTGTTATGGGCATGGGAATTTTGGTTAAGTTTCGTTGGGGTTTTTTTGAGTTTTGTTTTTTTGCCGTTTTGAGTGTGTTGTTGTGTTGTTTTTCATTTTGAGTAATATGTTTGTACCTTGTGGGTTGTGTTATGAGCATGGGAATTTTGGTTAAGTTTCGTTGGTTTTTTAGAGTTTTATCCTTTTGCCGTTTTGTGAGTGTGTTGTTGTGTTGTTTTTCATTTTGAGTAGATATGTTTGTACCTTGTGGGTTGTGTTATGGGCATGGGAATTTTGGTTAAATTTCGTTGGGGGTTTTTTGAGTTTTGTTGTTTTGCCGTTTTGTGAGTGTGTTGTTGTGTTGTTTTTCATTTTGAGTAGATATGTTTGTACCTTGTGGGTTGTGTTATGGGCATGGGAATTTTGGTTAAGTTTCGTTGGGGGATTTTTGAGTTTTGTTGTTTTGCCGTTTTGTGAGTGTGTTGTTGTGTTGTCTTTCATTTTGAGTAGATATGTTTGTACCTTGTGGGTTGTGTTATGGGCATGGGAATTTTGGTTAAGTTTCGTTGGGGGGTTTTTGAGTTTTGTTTCCTCGTTGGATGCCCCTAACAAATTTATATATATATAGATAATCCATCCAGCATTGTCATTGTCCTTTCCTACTCTGGTCGTCATTGTCTTTTATCCATCTGCCAGCTTACCCTAAGGCCTGGTCCCATATCCAGGTTTTTAACTTCCTTCTGAAAGAGAGGAGGGATGTTGATGACCTAATTTCCCCGGGGAGTGCATTTCACAGGTGAGGGGCCACCACCGAGAAGGCCCTGTCACTCATCCCCACCAGTCTCACTTGTGATAATGGTGGGGCCGAGAGAAGGGCCTCCTCAGCAGATCTTAAACTCTGAGGGGGGATGTAGAAGGAGATACGTTTGGACAGGTACGCTGGGCCGGAGCCGTATAGGGTTTTGTAGGTCAAAACCAGCACTTTGAATTATGCTCAGAACTGGATCGGCAGCCAGTGGAGCTGATATAACAGGGGGGTGGTATGCTCCCTGTATGATGCTCCGGTGAGTAATCTAGCCGCCGCCCGTTGGATAATTGAAGTTTCCGAACCGTCTTCAAAGGCAACCCCACGTAGATCGCATTGCAGTAATCTATTCGGGATGTAACAAGAGCATGGACCACTGTGGCCAGATCAGACTTCCCAAGGTATGGGCATAGCTGGCGCTCAAGTTTTAATTGTGCAAAAGCTCTCCGCAAAATTTGCACAATTTTGCTGATAGTTGGGAGCCACCGCCGAGTCCTGGGGTTCCAGGCTCAGCGATGAGTCCAGGATCACTCCCAAGGCCTGCAATGACTAACTACCTGCTTGCTGGACTGTAATTAAAAGTTGCTAATAAGTACTGAAAAGTAAACTCTGATAAGAACGGGGACAGTGATAAGATAAATGTTTACATCTTGGATTCCTTTAGAGGCTAAGACACAAGAGCAGCATATAATAATAACAGTTTAAGCCCAGATTGGGGTGAGCTCCCAACTACCAGCCCAGCTTCTGCTCACTTAGCAATTCGAAAACAGCAAAGTGAATAGATAAATAGGTAAAAGGCGCCCATGCAGACATGCTGGCAATTCAATTGGGGGAGCGTCTAAGAACAACAAAGCTCCTCAGCATGGAAGATGGAGTGACAGCACCACCCTGTGGCCGGAGTTGAGCACAGCCTATTTGCCGGAGATGGAAAAAGATGGGAAGCCTTTACCTCTATTTATGTACTGTCTTTTTTTAATTGTATATCAGCATTGAATGTTTGTCGTAAATGTGTACTGTAATCTCTCCTGAGTCCCCTCGAGGAGATAGGGCAGAATATAAATAAAGTATATTATTATTATTATTATTAGTAGTAGTAGTAGTAGTAAAGGTAAAGGTAGTCCCCTGACATTAAGTCCAGTCATGTCTGACTCTGGGGTGTGGTGCTCATCTCCATTTCTAAGCCGAAGAGTCAGCGTTGTCCGTAGACATCTCCAAGGTCATGTGGCCGGCATGACTGCATGGAGTGCTGTTACCTTCCCGCTGGAGCGGTACCTATTGATCTACTCTCATTTGCATGTTTTCGAACTGCTAGGTTGGCAGAAGCTAGGGCTGACAGCGGAAGCTCACGTCGCTCCCCGGAATCGAACCTGCGACCTTTTGATCAACAAGCTCAGCAGCTCAGTGCTTTAACCCACTGCGCCACCGGGGGCTCCTATTATTATTATTATTATTATTATTATTATTATTATTATTATTATTATTGGCAGACAGACATCTAGCCAGCTAACCAGGCACATATAGGTAGACCATCAATTCTTGCACTTCTATGCCTATCAACATGAAATTTGAACAGCCTACATTTTTTTTCCTCCCTGTTGAACCGAATAGCTTTTGATGGGCTGGCTGCTTCAGTGCCCTTCACTGGAGCCAGCCAGCCTCACACATGATTCAGTTTCCTCTTTACCTGTTTTGAACAATAAAGCAACACACACAAAACGTAGTTGATGGACCCAAAGCCCCAGGGAACTACAAAGGACCTGCACAAAGTGAAACCGCTGCTGTCTGAGCACCTGGATGTGTCAGGATTTGACAGATGTTCCTTGGAGTTACTTCTAGGAATTTGCTTCTCCGCGGCACGAAACCTACACCTTGGATTCTTTTAGAGGTCAAAATGGTGCCGAGACACAACAGCTGCTGCCATGAGACAAAGCGGATTTTTCCAATGTATAGAGGTTTAACAACCTCTGCAGATGGAGACTCCATTGGACTCCCCGACAGAGGCAGCATATAATAATAATAATAATAATAATAATAATAATAATAATAATAATAGATCCAATTGGATGTGTGATCCAATAGAAGAGCCAGCAGAGTGATCTTGTCTGCTGTGGACTCATCTTGTTGTGTTTCAAATAATAATAATAATAATAATAATAATAATAATAATAATAATATCACACAGTCCTAGATGCTTGGGAAGTGTTTGACTTGTAGTTTTGTGATACGAAATCCAGCATATAGATCTCATTTGCTGTGACATAATGTGCTTTTGTGTCAATAATAATAATAATACACTTTATTTATATTCTGCTTTTTCTCCCCAAGGGGACTCAGAACAGATTACACTATACACATATATAGGCAAACATTCAATGCCTTTTATATAGTGAACAATGAGATATACAATACATAAACAAAGGCAAAGGTTTCCCTTTCCATCTCCGGCGTCTGGAGGCGATGCTCAACTCTGGCCATGCAGAGGTGCTCTTCTTCCATTTTCCATCCCGAGGAGCCTGTTGTCCGTAGACACTCCTGGTCAAGTTTTGTCGGCATGGCTGCATGGATGCCTTTTGCTTTCCTGCCAAGGCAGTACTTATTGAACTACTCACATTGTATGTTTTCAAACTCCTGGGTTGACAGAAGCTAGGGCTAACAGAGGGAACTCACCCTGACCTGTAGCTTTGGACTGCCAACCTTCTGGTCGGTAAGTTTTTCTGCAACTTGTGCTTTAACCCACTGTGCTACTGCGGGTTGATTTATCCATGGGTCAGTTTCAGTACTGAACTGTATTGTGCCCTGACTCTAATAAAAAAAATGAACCATCCCATTCTCAGATCAGAGTGGTGAAAGGCAAGAGCTTACTGCATATACTGTGTATAAATTTTCTTTCGACTTATCCATGAGTGATTTGCCATGAGTGTCCATATCACTGTCACCATCTCATGAAGTCCATATTCCTACAAGGCCACTACTCTTTGGGTCAATTTAATTTCCATGGTTTTGCAACCTTTGTGGCCAACTGTAACATTCCCACTTGCCTCCAACAGACAAGAGTTCTTTCTCCCACCCTGGACATTATTCCACAGATACATAAAACCCAATTGCCTAAACTTTTATTCATGGCCAGCATGCAAACACAGAAAATTACTGGGATGTTGTGTTGTTTCCAGCTGTATGACCATGTTCTAGAAGCATGCCAGGCAAAACATCAGGAGAAAATGCTGCTAGAACATGGCTATACAGCCTAGAAACCACACAACACCCAAGTGATTCCTGCTGTGAAAGCCTTCAAGAATGTACCTCCCAACAAAGGATTCCTGTGCAGGTACAGCTGTACCAAGAGCTCCAATTTTGTTTGCTTTGCATTGAATGTTTGTTGTAGTCCTAAGTTTCAGGGACTCTGAAGATAGGTGGCTTCTTTTGGCTGCAATCATAGGGCAAGCCACCTGACAATTATCATTAGGTTCCCTGTTCCCGCCTCCTTTTTGGGTTTTGGAGGGAATAGGAGCCAATTTGGGTTTGGTCCACACAGAGAAGCCTTTCATGCAGGACATAATACCAAGAGCTCCTGTAGAAAGCTTCATCTTCTATGGCTTGGCCGGGGAGATATACAGCCCACAGCTTGGCTGGGGTTATACAGCCCTACAGCTTCTTTGCTGAGGGACTTCAGCCAGCCATCACCGAAACCTGAACTCCTTTCCTCCTGGAAGTCTACAAAGCTCTGCTTGGTAAGGGTCACTCGAGGAAGCCAGAAGCAGTTGGTACCGGATGCAGGGGCTCCATGCCAACAGAGGCAAAGACAGATTGTCCAGATTAGAAGTTAAGGATTCCCCCCTTAGTTATAGTTATGAAGATAGTGCCTGTTCCCTGTGGACAAGATTGAGAGAGAGCCAATAGACTGTTAAGAAAGCCTTAAAGTACCTGTTTGTTTTCAATAATAAAGAAACTTGTTGAACCTTTAAGCAATCTAAAGACTCTGTTTTAAGGAAATCCAAGGGCCTTTAATCTGAGGCAGCCCCGACATCCCGTTGGGCACACAGAATTTATGTCCTGTCTACAGTCTTATGTACAGGCCCAGCGTGCACAATTCCCCTAGGCAGGAAGCAGCCAGGTTTTGGAGCTGCAAGGCTATTCAGTGCTAATCAAGGTGGCCTATGGCAACGTTCACACTTGTCTCAAACAGACAAGAGTTCTTTCTTCCACTCTGGTCCTCATTTCACAGATATATAAACCTCACTTTCCAACGGACCTCACAATTAGGCCTGGTCAATCCATGGTTCTAAATGGTTCTAAAGTACTTACAAAACTAAAGTTCTGGTGGTGAAAATTTCAGAACTCTAACAAAACTTTCAAAATTTAATTATGATTTCATTACTGGTGATTGTTATGATAGAACCAATTAGGAACTGCCATTATATAATGACATTTTGAGAGTTTTGTTAGAGTTCTGAAATTTTCACCACCAGAAATTTAGTTTTGTACGTACTTTAGAACCATTTAGAACCATGGGTTGACCAGGCCTACTCACAACCTCTGAGACTACCTGACATAGATGTGGGCAAAGCGTCAGGAGAGAATGCTTCTGGAACGTGGCCAGACAGCCCAGAATACACACATCAACCCAGTGATTCTGGCCATGAAAGCCTTCAACAACACAAGAATTACCTTTTTTCCCCTCCTTTTCTTCATTTTTATATATAGCAAACTCATTGCTGAGGTAGGCAGTAATGAGTGTGAAACTGTTTATCTAGGAAATTATGGGTTTTCTGGTAAAATTCAGGAAATCGGAAGTTCCCCTTTTCTTCCTTTATAAAATGCTTCACCAATTAATATTCCTCTCGTCCCATAAATATTTCTCATTCAGCAAATACTGAATACTGCAACTGGGATAAAGGATTTTAATTCCACCAAATAAAGCTAATGAGCCATTTAATAAAAGGCCTAAATACACATCATAAAGAAATGTGTGTAATGCAATCCTCTTTGCCTCTAAGTTAATAGCAACTGGGGTGAAGGTGAGCGCTTGGAGATGAGGCATCCTTAGGGCAAAACCCTTTCATCCGTTCTGTACCCATTGCAATGGAAAGAATAGCCTCTCAAGCAGAATCCAAGGAAAAGAAATCCTACAGCAGACCCTGTGCTGGTACGGCTGTACCATGAGCTCCAAATTTATTTACTTTGTATTAAATGTTTGCTTGCAGTCCAAGGTTTCGGGGATTCTGCAGAAAGGTGGCTTCCTTTGGTTGCAGTCGTAGGGCAAGTCACCTGTCCATCATCATTAAGTTTTGGTTCCGTCCCTTGTTCAGGGCAATTGGGAAGGGAGCCATTTTTAGTTAGTCTCAGTAAGGAAAGCTAATTTAGAGGACGTGTACAAGCTTCTCCTGTACAAAAGCTTCAACCCTTAAGACTTTCCGGAGGAGAACAGTCTTAAGAGCATCCAAAGATTTCCAAAGATTTCCAGGGAAGCAGCCCTAAAGCTTTGAGGAATTTCGGAGGGTAAACAGTTTGGAAGACCAAAGAAGTCCAGCTGGAGAATCTACTGGCCTTACTGGTAGGTCCACTCGGTGCTCGAGACACAGTTTGACCTGGTAGCGGAGCCCACATCAGTAAGGCTTAGATTACAGTCAGCCTGGGAGAAGTTAAAAAGGGATTTTCCTTTAAAGTAAAGAAACAGTTATTGAAGACAATTGCCTGTTTCTCGTGGACAAGATTAGGAAGCCACCTGTTGCATAAAAGCCTGGAAGCATTTGTTTAACTTTATTGAAGACAAGAGAAGTTTCTGTTTGAGTGTTCATTAATAAAGGACTTTGTTATACTTCACAAGCCATCTAAAGACCATTTGTGGAGGAAAATCCTTGAGAACTTCTCTTCGGGGGGCCCTGGCTTCCCACTGGGCTCAAGTTGCACGTCCTATTTTAAAAGCAATTCATGACAGGCCCAGCGCAGGACAGAACACCCAGAGATCATAACTGTTGGAGTTCGGAGGCCGAACATGAAAGTAGAGCCTAGCGACTCACCCGCAGAACATGTGGATGGTGCTGGAAAGAGGTTCAGATGGAAGAGGGACAGTTTGCTGCAAACACAGCTGCTCGCAACCACCGTTGAAACCATCTGAGCAGTCAATCCCTTTGGAGTAGTCGTAGCAGCCAGTGCCATCCTTCATGGGCCTCAGCTCCTCAGGACACTGCACAAAGAAGGAAGATAACAATTCAAGGGACTTACAGTTACCCATTGAGAATCAGCACAATTTGTGATGTGAGAATTGGGTTATGACTCTACTTGGCCACAGAAGCTAGAGTTGTGCGCAGAATTTGTTTCTGCCGTTTCTTTAGTTTCTCTGGGAGTACAAAATGGGAACCCCCCTCCCCGTACGAAAATCAGCTCGACACGAAAGCAAGCTGGGGCTGATCCCAGCTCCAAGCCTGCTTTCGACCGCAGCCGAGCACCTCCCAAAACTTGCCTCCTTGCCTTGGAAAGAGAGTGCATGTGTGGCATGCAAGCCCAGAAAGTGTGCCTGCTAGTATTTATTTATTTAGAACTAGCTATCCCCTGCCAGGCGTTGCTGTGGCCCAGTCTGGTGATCTGGAAAATAAAGTAATGAGAAAGTGTTGGTTTCTAATATATGTAATTCCTTTATGCTTGTGAGTAAACAGTATTTCTTTGTCAGTGTTGATATGGAGAGTGTCTGGTTTGCCTACTGTGGAATATGCAACATATCATAGTCCTTCTTTAAGGGTCTCTTTCAAATCTGTGATACTATATCTGTGTGTGTGAGAGAATCATATCTATCTATCTCTATTTATGACTGGATGGCTCTTTGTCAGGAGGGCTCTGATTACGTTTTCTTGCCCTGGTGAAGAGAGTTGGACTGGATGGCCTTAAGTATTTTCTGTTGGTCATGGGGGTTCTGTGTGGGAAGTTTGCCCCATTTCTGTCGTTTGTGGGTTTCAGAATGCTCTTTAATTGTAGCGAACTATAAATCTCAGTAACTACAAATCCCAAATGTCAAGGTCTATTTCCTCCAAACTCCATCTGTGTTCATATTTGGGCATATGGAATATTCGTACCAAGTTTGGTCCAGATCCATCATTGTTTGAGTCCACAGTGCTCTCTGGATGTGGGTGAACTACAATTCCCAAACTCAAGGTCAATGTCCAGCAAACCTTTCCAGTTTTTTCTGTTGGTCATGGGAGCCCTGTGTGCCAAGTTTGGCCCAATTCCATCACTGGTGGAGTTCAGAATGCTCTTTGACTGTAGGTAAACTATAAATCCCAGCAACGACAATTCCCAAATGAAAACATCATTTTTTTTAGTGGAGGACATACATTGGACTGTTAGGTGTCTTGTGTCCAAATTTGGTGTCAATTCCCCCAGTGGTTTTTGAGTTCTGATGGTAGCAAAACGAACATTACATTTTTATTTACATAGATTTTTGTATTCTGTTCTTCTCCACCTCCATGGAGGGACTCAGAATGGCTAACAGCAAAAATTCAATGCACAATAAATAACATCATAAAAACAACATCTATATAAATAAAAATGTAATGTTCGTTTGTGGGATTAACATAACTCAAAAACCACTGGATGAATTGACACCAAATTTGGACACAAGACACCTCTCAAGCCAACAAGTGATTATCACTTATAAAAACACTGAAAAACACAGCAGAAGAGACTTAAAAAGCCAAAAAAATACATTATAACACAATTGCAAAACCGCATATATACACATATACACAAATATGTGTATACACATACACTCATATATACACACACAAACACATATACACAGACTGGGCCACAGCAACGTGTGGCAGGGGACAGCTAGTACACAATAAATAAGTTCTAGATTACATATAAAACAAATCATTAAGTTAAAACATCATCCAACTCAATCCAAATGTTGTCCATTAGCTCTTAGCCTATACAGGATCATCCATCAATCTGCAAATGTCTGATTCCAAACTCAAGATTTTAGCTGCTTCCTGAGGGACAGGAGGGAGGGGGCAGGGAGAAAGTTCCATAACTGGGGGGGGGGGGCACCACAGAGAAGGTCCTGTCTCTCGTCCCCACCAAACATGACTGCAGAGTTGGTGGGACCGAGAGCAGGGCCTCTCCAGAAGATCTTAAAGTCCTTGAGGGTTTATAGGAGGAGATACGTTCGGACAGGTAAACCGGGCTGGAACTGTTTAGGGTTTTGTAGGTTAAAACCAGCACTTCGAATTGTGCTCGGAAGCTGATTGGCAGCCAGTGGAGCTGGTGTAGCAAAGGAGTTGTGCGCTCCTTGTACCCTGCCCCCATAAGCAAACCTGGCTGCCAATAGTTGGACCAGTTGAAGCTTCTGGGCAGTCTTCAGATGCAACCCCATGTAGAGTGCATTGCAGTAGTCTAGAGTAAGCAGTGCTTGGTTGCAGGCACTGGCAGGTGCGCACTCCTTCCAGGCCTGCATGCCATGCCACACACACAATCTCCTTGAAAAGAAAGTTCATGTGTAGTGTGCAGGCCCAGAAATCACGCAGCTTAGCACCTCTTACTCTAGAGTAAGAGGCACTCAACTGCAAGCACTGGCTGGTATACACACTTTCTGGGCCTGCACACCACATCACACATGCACTGTCTTTCCAAGGAGAATGGGTGTGTGACATGGTGTGCAGGCAGACCTGGGAAAGCACCCGCGCCTGCCAGTGCATATAGTCGAGTACCTCCTCTAGAGTAGAAACAGCATGTAAGAACACTCCTTAAAGTGTGTGTCAAGAAGGGGAGCCTGAGTGGGAAGCCTCCCTCCCATAATGGCCCTATAGAAAAAAGATCTTTGGGGGTCTAAACCAAAAACAAATATCTGCCCTCCTGATTTCGGGAGGCTCCCAAATAATGGATCTGGTCCCTCAGTGAAAGCCGGGACACGAAACAGGTCAAGGTTTACCCTGAATGCACAACCCTAATAGAAACCAACTTGGTGACCCTGGGTGAGTCACACATTCTCAGACACAATACACCGCGCCTGCCAGTGCCTATAGCCGAGTACCTCCTCTAGAGTAGAAACAGCATGTAAGAAGCCTCCTTAAAATATGTGACAGGAAGGGGAGCATGAGTGGGAAGCCTACCTCTCATAATGGTCCAATAGTAAACAGATCTTTGGGGGTCCGAACCAAAAACAAATATCTGCCCTCCTGATTTTGGGAGGCTCCCAAATAATGGATCTGGTCCCTCACTGAAAGCCGGGACACGAAACAGGTCAAGGTTTACCCTGAATGCTAATAGAAACCAACTTGGTGACCTTGAGTGAGTCACACTTTCTCAGACTCAATTCACCTTAAGGCAGTGGTTCTCAACTTGATGTCCCCAGATGTGGATTTCTGGGAGTTGAAGGCCAAAAACATCTGGGGACCCCAGGTTGAGAACCACTGCCTTAAGGGCTTCACCATTTGGAAATAACTTGAAGGTGTCTCACAACGTCATCATCAACAACAAAATAATGGGAATCTCCAAAATGATAGCAAAAGCAATGGTCTCCAGAAAGGTCATCTCCAGAATGTTTCATCAAGAGCATCTGTGTCTAAAGAAAGATTTTGCAAGAATAATGAAGACTACTCCAAGACTACTCCAAGACGCTCTGGACTCAGTACTGCAAAACACGGAAGGAACTGAATCTCAAGAGAGATGTTAATGAAGCCCGGCTGAACATTTTCCCACTCGAGGTCAAACTGCAATTCAAAGATGTATGTTTTCCCAGGGCCGTACATGAGTGTTTGGCAGGGCCAAAGGTATCAGCATGCTTCCGCTTTACTGCAAGTAATTATATCCTAGGACCTTGAGATGGCTGTATTCAGCTCCAGGCCTTGGCTTACAGGATCCCTCACCTGCGTTGTATGATCCTTAGGTCACATAATATGAATGCTGCAGAGGTTGTATTTATTACTACTCCCAATAACAAAAGAAGCAGAAGAGGATGAAGATCTCTCCTTTGTTACACCCACTTTAATTTTCTGCCTGAATGTCTTTACCAAAGACTGAGCTCTTGAGCATCAAGGTGACAGATGTCTTGAAATCAAAGCTGCAACTCAAAGACTACTGTTAGAGATGTTAGAAACAATAGAAAGGGATATTTTCTGTTATGTCCATAGAAAAAGGTAAAAAAAGAAAGAAACAAGAAAATGGTCGACACTGAGTAGAGAAGATGGCAAAGTGTCGAGAAGAGAAAGGTGGAGTTTAGATGACTATCCGTTGTGAGTGCTTGGATTGTGCATTCCTGCATGGCAATGGTTTGGACTCTGGTTGCTTCTGGATTCCAAAGGACTACCATCTCACCCGTCTCATAGGAAACCTGCTACAAAACAGGAGCTTTTTTGTTGAGTTCCAGAGCCAGAGAAGCAGATGACGGAAACAGAAGAATGGCCTGCCTCAGGGGAGCGTGCTCGCTCCATCCATGTTCAACATCTACACAAATGACCAGCCACTACCAGAAGGGACAGAGAGCTTCATCTATGCTGATGATCGTGCCATTACCACTCAAGCAGGGAGCTTTGAGATGATTGAACAGAAGCTCTCCGAAGCTCTAGGTGCTCTAACTGTTTATTACAGGGAAAACCAACTGATCCCTCATCCATCTAAAACACAGGCATGTGCCTTTCACCTTAAGAACAGACAAGCATCCCGAGCTCTGAGGATTACCTGGGAAGGAATCCCACTGGAGCGTTGCAGCGCACCCAAATACCTGGGAGTCACTCTGGACCGTGCTCTGACCTACAAGAAGCACTGCCTGAACATCAAACAAAAAGTGGATGCCAGAAACAATATCATACGAAAGCTGACTGACACAACCTGGGGATCACAACCAGATACAGTGAAGACATCTGCCCTTGCGCTATGCTACTCTGCTGCTGAGAACGCATGCCCAGTGTGGAACACATATCACCACACTAAAACAGTGGATGTGACTCTTAATGAGACATGCCGCATTGTCACAGGGTGTCTGCGCCCTACACCACTGGAGAAATTACACTGCTTAGCCGGTATTGCACCACCTGACATCCGCCGGGAAGTTGCTGCCAATAGTGAAAGGACCAAGGCAGAGACATCTCCAGCTCATCCCTTGTCTGGGTATCAGCCAGCACGTCAACGACTTAAATCAAGATATAGTTTTCTAAGATCTACAGAGACACTCGCTGGAACACCTCAGCAAGT